CTTAATACCCTCTGCTTGGTATTGTGTCTTAAAGTGTTTTTTTGGTTCCATCCAAGTACTTAGGGCAATACTAACACTTAAAATGGTATCTCTTGATTGTTCCTCCTCCATCTTAGGAGGCACATTCGAGGAAAATCTTGGTTGAGTTATAATGAATTCCAACACATTATGCTCCAGAGCACCTTTCTTTAATACCGTGTGCTTGGTAATTTCTCTTTTTGTTGATAGAGTGTCTAAAAGTTTTGTTTTGGTGCCATCCAATTACTTAGAAAATGCTAACACTTAACTGGTAAGTCTCTTGATAGAGTTTGTTGGGGTTGGTCGTTGTGCAAGTTACCTTCTATTTTCATGTCACAAAAATTGTTTTCTTGTTTCGTAACAGTTCAAAGCACATTTATCCTGCCAAAATTCAAGGCAACTCTAATTGAGTCTTATATTCTTTTATTGTTGATTCAATGTGACTTATATCTAAGGCTGGCTAAAGTTTGTTTCAATTTTTCTGCTGCTGCTCTTCTTTTCTTTTTTTTTTCTTTTCATTTAGCTGAGACTACTGTTAAATGCATCTATTCCTGATAGAATTTACTTGAAACACTTAATGAGTCTAAATTCCTTTTTGATTGTTTTAATATGACTCTGGATTTAAGGTTAGCTAAAATTTGCCTCGATTTTTTTTCTTTGCCTTTTCTTCAATTTTTGTTTTTTGTTTTATGGGGACGGGCTGATGTTAAGTTTTATTGACTCTCTTCCCCCACCCACATGAACACAGCAACCCACAATAAAAGATTAGCTAAAACATGACATTTCTAATGCTATGAATGATATGAAATAAGTGATTTTACCACAGTAAATTGGTTATAATACAGAACTTGTCTTTGTAAAACAGATCTTATATAATATTAAAGAGCAGATCCAGGAAAATTAGAAGTGATGTTTGGAAATGATTTTCTGCTTTGTTATGCCGTGGTAACAGTTGTCACTGCTGATGAGTGATATACATAATAGACTTTGTGACTATTTTCAGTTCTAGTGTAGATAATGTTGAATCCTTTTGGGTCCTCAACTTTCGTAGCAGCTGAGCCATGTTGCAGAAGCTTTCATTACTTTTTGGAAATTTTTAACGGTGATAAACATAAGTGATTCCTGTGAACTCTCTTTTGTTTATGGTTGATATCTACTCCAACTAGTTTTGCTTTTGCAGCATATTGCGTAGTTGCAGTTGAATCAGTTGGAAGACAAATCCCCATTGCTTTCTTGGAAAGGGTCAAAGAAGATTTCACCAATACATACGGGGGAGGAAAGACTGCAACTATTACTGCCAATGCACTCAAACGGGAATATGGGTAATAACTTCGATCGCATGTGCTTCTATTTGATGGGTTGCTCTATCCTCTTAACTGTCTACTGCTCCGTTTTGCTTAATATCAGTCCAAAGCTGAAGGAGCACATGCAGTATTGTGCTGACCATCCTGAAAAGATTAGCAAATTTGCTAAATTTAATGCTCAGGTCTCATAAGATAAAGGAGTCATGATGGAGAACATATAGAAGGTCACTTTTGTCTTGTTAGTGGTACATTTTCTTTTGAATTTTTTTTCCTTTAGAGCTTCAACTGATTATTTAAACTTTTTTTATTCTGACTTTCAGGTTCTAGATCGTGGAGAGAAAATTGAGCTCCTGGTTGACAAGAATGAAAATCTTCGCTCCCAGGTAATTGTCTCTATTTATCCTTCATAAAGAACTTTGAAGTGATCTTAGAAGTACTCCAAACTTTCTATCTCTCTTTCTCTCTCTCCACTTTTTGGTGCATGTAGGCGCAAGATTTTAGGTAGCAGGGAACCAAGATGAGCAGAAAGAGGTGGATGCAAAAAATGAAGGTGAAGCTAATCATCTTGAGTATCATCATCGCCTTAATCCTCATCATTGTCCTGTCTGTCTGCCATGGCTTCAAATTTTAGTGCGGATTAGTATTGAGGAACGGCTTTCCTCGCTTGGTTGCTGCCTGCATCTGAGTTTCTGATCATCATCAGTATTGATTTTGCGAGTATAAGTGCTCTTTTTGACAATTTCTTGCCTGAATTGGCTCAACATGGCTTTTCTGTCAATACATCGTCCGGGTATATGATTGTCTTTGCATGCATAGCATTAGTACTGGCTTAGGATATTTTTTTTCTAAAAAAACTAGTTGATGTATACACGCAGTTTTTTGAATCTACGTTGTGGTGTGTATCTGTTCAATGCTTAGTGCCTTGCATCCAAATCTTAATTCATGCTAAGCCTCAATTTAATTAAATTGCAACTCTGGTAACCCTTAACCCTTGGGCTTTTGCATTGAATATCCTAAACAAAGCCTTAATCTTTTGGTTTATAAAAGTCTGAATATCCTATTTATTCAACTCTCCCATCATCTTCTCGTAATGCAAAATTACATTTTAACCCCCATAAGATTTCCAAAATGTCTGGTGTTCTATGATTTTTAAGGAAAAGAAAAAACTAAAAAAGTGCATAGAAGGGAGATCATTCAATTTTTAGTTTATGCATAAATATTTATCTACATTAAGTTGAAAAAAGGAAAAGAAGTATTAGAAAAAGAGAATCAATTTTAAGACAGCTTTTTAAATATTTAAGAATCCATTCTTATTATTTAACTAATCTGTATAGACAAAAAAAACTTGAATGGTTAGTTTTTTTTTTTTTTTATAATGGAAGTATAGTCTTTTTAAAAGGAAAGTACTATTAATTAATGTGAAAGAAATTATAATAAGCATATTGCAGTAGCAAAATTGGAGAAATTATTATGTGTAAAGTTCTGACGTAGCTTGCGTCCACTCCAATTAGAATAGGTCACGTCAGTCTGTACATAGCTTGTGTGCAATTTGGACACAACATGTATATAAAACGTACATAGTATACCGGAGATTTGACTTGTTATGATTGGAGGAGTCCAGTTGCCATTCGGACTCCGCATATATTAATTTCTTGCAAAATTGGAGGATCAAATCTTGATATTTAAAAATTATTTAGAGGTTAGGGAGATTTTTTTCCTTGAACAACATGCCATTAAAATAAAAAAAGGAAGATTTATATATGTAGCACACAAAAGTTGGGCCTTAAGTAGGACGTCGGGCCTTAAGCAGGACGTTGGGTCTCCAGCAGGGCGTCGGGTCTTCAGCAGGACGTCGGGCCTTAGGCAGGACGTCCGGTCTTCGGCAGGACGTTGGGTCTTCCGCAGTGGTGCAACGAAACTACGGCGAGGCTTCGGTGGTGGTCCGGCGAGGTTCCTGCGGTGGTCCGGCGGTGGCCCGGCGAGACTCCTGCGGTGGTCCGGCGGTGGCCCGACGAGACTCCTGCGGTGGTCCGGCGAGACTCCTGCGGCGGCCCGGCGGTCGTCGGAGAGGAGCTCCCTCCTCTTCTTCCTTCTCTTCTCTTCTCCTCTCTCTTGCCTGGCTCCCCCTCTTGTGAAGAATGAGGGCTCTATTTATAGATTTTCTGGAGTGGCATGGCCCGTAAATAGGTGTGAGATCAAGGGCGAATAGGAAGTGGTTTGAATGGACGGCCGATAGTGAACCTTCGATCATGCACCGTTTGCTAGACATTTGAATGCCTTAGTGATGTCGGAATTCGGTGATCTTGACCTTTGTAAAAGGGCTCGAGAGAATCCACTAAAGATGTGAGACCTATCCGAGGTTGTATGTCGGAGCCTTTGCTCGACGACGTTAACCTGTGTGGGAGAGGTCAAGAGAATCCACCAATGATGTAAGACCTATCCGAGGTTGTATGTCAGAGCCCTACTCGATGACGTTAACCTGTGTGGAAGAGGTCGAGAGAATCCACCAATAATGTAAGACCTATCCGAGGTTACATGTCAGAGCCCTGCGATGACGTTAACCTTTGTGGATGAGGTCGGAAGAATCCACCAAGGATGTAAGACCTATTCGAGGTTGTATGTCAAAGCCCTGCTCGATGACGTTAACCTGTGTGAAAGAGGTCGGAAGATTCCACCAAGGATGTAAGACCTATCCGAGGTTGTATGTCAGAGCCCTGCTCGATGACGTTAACCTGTGTGGATGAGGTCGGAAGAATCCACCAAGGATGTAAGACCTATCCGAGGTTATATGTCAGAGCCCTGCTCGATGACGTTAACATGTGTGGATGAGGTCGAATCGTATCCCCCTGGGATCGATTTGCCTTGATTGGGAGGGGGCGAATGCCGCATGTATCTCAAATCAAAGGTGAAGAATGGTCTATTTTTAGACTGTTACTGCCTTTTTGAGGTTGATATTAAGATTTTGCCCAAGGAGTAGAAGTCTCGTAAGGGACTGTATAAATCTTATAATTGATTGGAAGCATCCTTGCATTTGCTGGGATTTTCCTGTAATATCATCTTGATGTTGGAAGTATTTGAGGGATCTTCTTGATCATACTTGGAGTCAAAGTTGCCCCCCAGTTCGATCTAATTTCCATGAAATTGATGAAGCAATGGCTAATGTTAGCAAGTGGATATTAACGTCCTTCTGAGGTTGGAGCAATAATTGCCCCCCAGTCGGGAATCACGTTCCCACAGACGGCGCCAAACTGTTGCGGTCTGAAAGATTCGTGGCGGTAGAGTGAGTAAACTTTTGTCTTAGCGATGCACGAATATCCAACACAAAAACAGAAAGAGAGAAGTAGAACACCAAATCTTTTTTACGTGGAAAGCCCGAAGAGGGAAAAACCACGGGGCCTTGCCCAGGTGAAAATATTCCACTAAACTTGAGTGAATTACAAGGGTTGACCCGTCCCTCGATTTAGAGGCTGTCGAATTACAGTGATTTGGAGAGACAGTCAAAGGTCTGGAGATGGTCGTACGGATGTCCGGCAGGTGGCGGCCGGGCGGTAGTCCGACGAAGGTCGGGCTGAAGTCTGGTAGGCGGCGACCGGGCGATGGTCTAGCGACGGGCGGCAGCCGAGCGGTAGTCCGACGAAGGTCGGTCTGAAGTCCGGCTGCAGGCAACAGGCAGGGCGGATGGCAAGCGGTGAATACGGCGGTGGTCGCACGGACAGGCTTCAGGCGGCAACGGGCGGTGGTCAGCGACAAGGCATGGCGCCAGTGGTCAGCGGCAGGGCAGCCATGCGTGGTACCGCGACGGCAAAGGGCGGCGGCAGTTGGTCCAGCGCAGGCGGCGCCGGGCGGTTCCGACGGCAGAGCGGCGCGGGGTTCGGTGGCGGCGGCGGTCCGTGCGGTGGTCGGCGGCAGGTGGAGCGGCGGCCGGGCGGTTGTCGACGGCAGGAGCGGCAGCCGGCGGTGGGTCCGCGACAGGGCGGTGGTGCTAGAGCTCTTGAAGCTCAGAGCTCTCTCATTCTCAAGCCAAAGGTCCCCTCTGTAGAGGTGGTCTTATTATAGATTTTCATGAGTGGCGCACCCCGTAAATTTAGAGAAGATCCGGGGCAAGTTCAGAGTGCTCCATCGGATGGCTCGTATTGATTCCCACGATCGAGAGAGTTTTTAACTGTTTAAGTGCCTTAACAGTGTTCGGAATTCAGAGATCTTGGGCTCGTTGGATTCGTTCTCGCCGAGATGCTCGATTTGATTATAAGCATGTCATTTGGATATCATTCATTATCAAATAATACTTTAAACCTTCCAAATGTGGTCCGGGCCCCGATTTGGACCCATTTGGGCTTGGGTTGGACCAATTTCGGTGTTGTTCGGTTCGTCCCTTTGAGAGTTCAATTGATTGAAGTTTGCTGAAAAATCCATTTGAATATGCTCGAGATTCGTGCTCGATCAAGGCAATTTCTTAGGACGTATCATTCTTATTGTCCGAAGTACCAATAAGGTGAATTGGCGGTGAACGGATTGAGAGAATTTAATGTTATTTTCATATTTATTATATTATATATAATAGTAATGCTCTATAAATAGATTATTAAAATTGGAGTGTTTATCGATAAAATTAGGGGTGACAATTCGGGTCAACGGGTCGGGTCGGGTCCAACCCGAGTTGACCCGGGCATAAACGGGTTTATCAGAATCCGACTTGTTTGGCTAAATGAGTCAGGATATACAATTCGGACCCGACCCACGTGGGATACCGGGTTGACCCGACCAGACCCGCGAACCCGAATCGGACTTAATGGGATTTCAAAAAGTTAATTTACATGACATTGATTGGATGTATTTTTTTTTCTTATATATATGCGTATTATAATCTCATTGATTCGATTATTATTTTTTGTTTGTTTAATGTTAAATATAGACATATATCTTAATATATATAATTTTTTTTCAAAGAAATTTTATAATAAAAAAAAAAGTTTATTAAAATTTAGTTACATGGCATCAATTATTTGTATGTTTAAAAAATTTAATGGAGTTCAAATAATTTCTTAGCCATGTTTAGAACAATTTTACATCATTATTTTTATCTTTAATTTCAACAAATTTTTTACTAACGGGTTAGTCGGGTCGACCCGCAGGTTTTCGGGTCAACCCGAACCCGGCCTTTTTAACAAACATGTCAAAATTTGAACTCGGACCTGACCCATTTAACAAATGGGTTGACCCAAACTCAAATTATTCCCGATCGGATCCGAGTCGGATTTAGAATCGTGTCAATTTTTGACACCTCTATAAAATTTAAAAAGAAAAAAAAAACCTGATGCCACGAATACTCATTTCCGCTGTTTTTTCCCCATGTCCCCACTGCCATACGGATATAAAACGCGTTGTTTTGCATGTTGGGTCGCTGGGGTTTTAACGGATTCCTTGAGCTTTGGCTTCACACTCCCAACTAGGGTTTTTAGAGCGGCGGCGCCCGCCCCCTCTTCCGTGTCCCCTCCTCGACCAACGCTTCTAGCGATCAAGTCGCCTAAACCCGCGACAACTATGGACCGATACCAGAGAGTCGAGAAGCCGAGGCCTGAGTCCACCATTAACGAGAATGAGATTCGGATCACTGCTCAGGGCCTCATTCGCAATTACATTAGTTATGCCACCACCCTTCTTCAGGTAGATACACCACCGCGTTTCTTTCGCATATTCTCTTTCATGATCAAAGTAAGAAATGCTCCTAATGCCCGCTCGGGGTGCGACTGTTGCCTATCCACATAGATCACGGGCCATCAAGATGTCTAGTTTTTCATCATCTACTCTCTATTTATTGTCTTGTATATGTTCTTTATTTTTCGTTGCATGCACTCTGAATCTGTTTGATCGATGGTAATTTGAGCTGATTAGTAACCTATTACGCCGGTTATTATCCTTTTTTGTGATATGTATATATATATTTTCATCCTGTTAAGATAAATCGATTATTCCTTATGGCGTTTCATTCTCATTGAGAGTGATTTTTCTTGTTTTGATTATGCTCAATGTATATAATTGAAACTTCAAGAAGCCTTTCTGAGCATGTAGTTCTCAAGCAACTTTTTTGAGTCAGGACAATGGCGATCAAAGTTGTTATTGATTACACAGCTCTATTTGCTGATGGTTATGCAATGTCTGTTTATATGCATTTTCTTTCACTCCTTGAGTTTTCTTTTTCATTCCGTGGTGTGTGTTTGTGGTGACTCTCCCGTTTGTCAAAATGTTTGTGGTAAATTCTAATTGATGTTATGATGTCTTCCATCGTAGATTGGTTTATTCAGGTTCCATTTGAGATTTTGTACTTTTGATAGCGGGAATATATTTATGCTACGTGCTGATGCTTTTCATGATAAGGCTGCATTCTTAACCCATATGAATGTTTAAATAAATCTTATGGAACTAGTTATATTTTGTATCTACTTGCAGCTAGACTAAGCGATACTGAGTTGGCCCCTCTAGAAGTTGGGAAAAAAAAAACTTATTATGAAAATGAGTACCTTGGCATTTCATATCAGAAGTGAAATTTTGCAATGTTCGCGGCTAATAATTCTGCATAATGGTAGATTCATTTCTGTAATTTTTTGCTAGAGACGAGTGTGTTAAACAAAATTTACATTTCATTTCCTAAGGAATACCTGATCATAACCATTATGTAACAGATTTTATTTACCTATTTACTTGCATTATAAGGATGCCACCTGAGTTATAAAGCCTTAAAAAAAAAAAGAAGGTTTTTCTATATATTTTGGTGCTTATTGTAAATGCTGGAATGGCCCTTGCATGAATGCTGCCCCTTTCATTTATGTCTACCTCACTTATAATGTTTCCTTTTCTTCATCTCTCTTGAAATGTTCTATGAGGTTGTCCTTTCTTCTTTTTTTTAGTAGTAGAGTGTAATGTTTAGTTTTAGTTGCAATTCATGTGGTGCCAGCATTTAATCTTTCAAAACATGCCCCCAACACTTTTTCTTTCAAGTAATGGGGTGCAAAACATTCAACTTGGCAGTCTGTGATTCTTTAGGTTTAGTGAATATGTGAGACACTCCATTCTTGTTTCCGTCACATGATACATATAATTTTGATAAAATTTCTGTGGTTCTCAACCTCTATTTCTTTGTTACTTTTTGTTGAAATGATATATTATCACATACTTGGTCTAGAAGGCGGTAAACCCTTACAACATGAGACGTGATGAAGGGATAAAAAGACCTATTTTGTATTCACAAAGAGAATCATGCATATAAATGAGGAAGTGAAATAAAGAGTCAATTTATTAATAGAAGTTCAAATAACCAATACATCCAAATAACAAGAATTCTGATATAAGCTAATAGAAATATAAATAGAACGAAAAGCAAGAAAGAAACTACCCAATCTTTATAATAAAAAAAGCATAATCAACTACTACAAAATAATAAATATAAAAAATAGTCTACTAATGGTAACTTTGCTCTTGAGGTGGCAGTCCATCAAATACGCCTGCAGGACCTGTTGAAAAAGTAATGGGTGATCAAACTCAGCAAGTAACTCTTATCTATCAAAACCTAAACAACGAAGGAGTGAGGCATGCATTATGAACAACCAAAGGGTGAAAGTAACAACCTAAAGTCACCAAACCAAAGTAGTAATGACATATGTCATATTTATGATAGAAAACATCCACCCTAGTGGAGGAAATTGCTGAATTTCAAAGAAAATTCAGGCAGGAAATTCTGATTTACTAGAGAAAAGAGCAAGCAAGAGCTCCAATTCAATAAAAGAATGAGAAAAGTAGCGAACGATACAAGAATCTTCAATTAGAGAGGAAGATTCAACTCTCCAAATCTCTAGCCAAAGCCTAGAGCCCAAATGCAAACCCTCGATCTCAAATTCAGATTGCAAAATTCAAGATAACACTAACCCTAGCCAAAAGGAAATTACTTAAAGCAAAATACAATTTATTAATCCTTAAATGGCCCCCAAGTTTGAATTTTCTCTCATAAACCCCTTGCCCAATCAATGATTGGGCCCCACACATGTTTCGCCCCCCTCTAGGTTCCACCTCATGTAGTAATGAATCAGTCCAGGAGGGATAAGTTCAGCTGGGGCCGGCCTAACTTTACCCCCCTCTCAAAGACTCACCTTGTCCTCAAGGTGAAATGAAGGAAATTGATGCTTCACCCTCTTATATGGTTCCCAAGTAGCGTTGAAGTTGGGAATGTCCCTCCATTTAATAAGCACTTCTTTGTTCCCCTCTTTATCTGTCCTCACTCCTTTAAACTACTGTGGTTCTAAGACCGCTTCCAATTCCCCGGTTAGAGTTGCTAGTAAATTTGTACTAACTACATGCTCCCCCAGAGCTCTCCTCAACTGTGATATATGGAAGACTAGGTGTATAGCGGCAGATGGGCTAATTTTAAACGGTACACAACCGCTCCAATCTTATCCAATATCTCTTAGGGGCTAAAGTACCTCGGGGAAAATTTCTAGTTTCTCATGTTGACCACTGTCCTCTATCTGTAGGGTCGTAGTTTTAAGAACACCCTCTCCCCCACTTCAAAATAGATGTCTCTCTTATGTGCATTTGTCTGCTTCTTCATGATCTTTTGTGCCATCAACATATGTTTCTTCAACTCATCCAACACTCTATCTCTTTCCTCTAAATATTGTTCTATTAAGGAAACTGGTGTGCTTCTTTTCCCAAAGTGCACTAAGTATTAGGGTTTCTTCCATACATCACCTTGAAAGGGGTCATCTGAGAAGCTGAGTGGTGCAAGTTATTGTAACAATAGTTGGCCGATGCTAATCACTTGGCCCACATCCATGGTGTTTCAGAAACAAAGCACCTCAAGTAAGTCTCCAAGCTTCTATTGACTACCTCTATTTGTCCTTCCGTTTGTGGATGGTAAGTAGTGCTTATCTTAAGAACTGTTCATTAAATAACCTGAATAGCTCCCTCCAAAATTGGCTGAGAAATACTTTGTCTCGGTTAGAAACTATCAATTATGGAATCCCATGAAGTCTGACCACCTCTCTAATAAATGTTGCTGCCACGGTCATTGCGATATATGGACGCCGTTAATGAATGAAATGTGCGTACTTACTCAACCTATCCACCACCACCACCAAAATGGCTGTGAATCTCTTCGATCTTATTAGACCATCTATAAAATCCAATGACACTTCCTCCCATACCCTATTTGAAAGTGCTACGGGTTTTAGTAACTCCCCTGGAGTCATAGCCATGTATTTGCTACTCTGGCACATCTCACATCTGGCCACCATCTCATCCACATCTTTATGCATCCCTTCCAGAATAACTCAGCAGCCAGTCTTCTGTATATCTTATGTATCCCAGAATGGCCTGCAATTGCACTCCCATGGAACTCTTGCAGTAGGTGGGGAATATAGATGGAAGTTCGTGGCATCACAAACCTCCCTTGATGTAAGAGTCTCCCCCTCAAGTGAGTACCCAGAATGGCTACTCTTATCTTTCATCGCATCCTCCCTAATCTTCCTCAACTCCTCATTCTGCATACTCTCTTCTTTGATAGCCCCTCAATCCATCATCAGTGGTACTGAAATTGCCATCTCCTGGACCTCCCCAACACATCTTGATAAGGCATTAGTCACCTTTTTTTCAAACATGGCATGTACTAGATCTCAAAATCATAGCATGGCAATTTGGAACCTCCTCAAATTTTAGCCAAATTCAAGATGCCCTAGCCCTAGGAAAACAAACTATTTAATGCATACAATTCAAAAGGAAATCTCTAGACAGCCCCTACTTTGAAAATTCCCTCCCAACTCCCTTCAAAAATCTTCCTAAACAGCTCTGTCAGGCCTGGGCAGTCAGATCCTGCGTACAGGAGGCAAAGAACTTCTGCCTGTTTCTCACGAGCTAGTCCCGTAGGATCAATCTAACAATACTCCCCTCTCAAAGACCCACCTTGTCCCTAAGGTGGAAAGACGACACACTCCTCTATTCCCTCTTCATCACAAACGGTAAGAACCTGAAGAGTTCAGTCCTTACACCTGTGTCACAGCATATACCTCTCGTCGCATTTGAAATAGAGACCCTTCGCTCTTTTCTCCTGTAATTTTATTTTTGTGAGCTTCTTGAAGTTGTCCCCAGGTCATCCTCCTACAACTTTCTCCTTCAAAGTTTCCTGAATAGTATTAGGTGTTGGCTCCTTGGGTGCTAAACAAGTGGCGGTCATCCCAAGTCTTCTGAGATGCTACCTCCCATTCCTCTCTCTGGATGCCTCTGATCCTCCACCAACTGAGCTAGCTTCATAACCTCTCCTAAGTCAAGAGGCCTCATCACTCTAACCATTGTGCGGATCTTGGGTTCAGTCCCTTCATAAAATTCTCCTCTAGTACAGACTCTGGGAGTCAATCCAGTCGACTGGCAAGATACTCAAATTGCTCACGGTACTCCACTACTATCCCCTCTTGCATCAAAGCGAAGAATTGCTCATAAAATCCCCTCCACTGCTTGTTTGGAAATGTTCCAACAAGTAGTCCTTAAACTCCATCTAGGTCCTTATTGGTCACCTCGCATCCCGCCATTGGTACATGCTAAAGCTTTCCCTTCCAAGCACATCCCGATTGTCGTCAATCTCTCCCCTTTCGTCAACCTGTTGACGACAAAGTACTTTTTTACCTTGTTGATCCATCCATGAGCATCCTCTCCCCAAAAAATAGGCATCTTCAGCTTTCTCACCCTCATATCGCTTTTGTTCCCTCTGTTCCCTTCATAATTTCTCATTCCCCAAGGGGATGGCTCCCCCTAACTGTCCCAATCATCCCTTCTACGTTCACACCCAAGCCTTTCATCAAATTCCCACCTTCTTTTAAAATCATCACCCCTTGGATCATAACAAACACATCCTTTTTCATATTCAGCCCTCATTTGATCATAATTACCCATTTACCTTTCAAATTATGCACCCTTCCACTCATGTACAACCCTCTCATGCCTCCCCACATACCCTCTACTCTACTCCTCTCTAAGAATAGGCCCTAGGGGAGGCATTTTTTTGTTCCCTCCAAAATCTTCACCTCTTGATATTCCATTCATCTGATTGGCTTAGAATTTTCCCAACTTCATTGGTTGTTGGCGCCTTCCCTCACCTTCGAAGGTGATATTTTGGTTTGACCCTCGAGCACTTTCTTTAACATCTTCTCCAGGATGGAAAATTTCGAATCGAACTTATCATGGATGACTTAAATATCTTTTTTTTTTAATTTGAAACTTAATTTTGGAGATATGAAATTTCATATTTCATTTGGCCGATATCTCATTCCAATACTTCTACTTTTCTTCCGGCCATGGGTGCCCGGATCGAACTGCTCTGATACCGATTTGTTAGGAAGCACTTGTAGATCTCAAGAATTTCTTAGCAATATTTGAAAAACAGCGAGAATTTTCCACAAAAATCCACACAAAATCAGAAAAATAGTAGATAATTTATCTTATTTGATGAAATGGGAACTGAAAATATCAAGGTACAATTGATCCTCTATTTGAGAGGAGAATATATCTCTCTCAAATCTCTAGACGCCGCTAGAGCCCAAAAACCTAAGTGATCTCAAATTTCAGCCAAATTCAAGATGCCATAGCCCTAGGAAAAAAACTATTTAATGCATACAATTCAAAAGAAAATCTCTAAACAACCCTTTGAAATTTTCCTCCCAACTCCCTTTAAAAACCTTCCTAAACAGCTCTGTCAGACCTGGGCGGTCGGATCTGTCAAGCTG